TATATATATATCCTGATTTGTTTCTTGCTTTAGAGACATTCTTAAAACAAGAAGCAAAACTTCTGAAACTGATCGTTTGTTACTATTAGTTTGTAAATGCACCAAATGGGCCTTTCCTTGGATTTAAAGTTAATTAACCTATATTATTTCCATGAACCCTTTGTGAAGCTGTTCTAATGGCATTCRTGAATGTTTTGAGCCTTAAAGTCGGTCAGGAGTTCACAGAGCGGCTCATTGAACCAATTCAAATTTCACAAACATCTGGAACCAAGGCGTTTGAACATCTGCACCCCTCCCACTTTCGATTGGCTTTCTGGCAGGACTCGAGTGGGGAGAATGCCACCAAAACAAGTTATACAAGCTGTGAAATAGCACTTTCTGAGGGCTCTCTTTGTTGCAGCCCGAACCCTCTCCGGTTAAAGTCCGGTTTCAGAGCCCGGAACGTTCGACACGAACCCCCCCGCTTCTGGAGCGATACTTTACCTCCACTCCCAGCGAAAGGCGCTTCTCTTCCCATCGTCGGGCAAGTGAAGATGAAACTTTTCAGCTCCATCAAATGAAGGAAGCCTGAAGTTTGCTCTTCTGCGGTTCTTTTTTCTTCTTGTTAAACTTTTGCCTGGGAAGTCACACGCGGGAAAAAAAAACGGCGCAGCGTSGTTCGCAACATCTGACAAACACCAGCTGAGCCTGTGTACTCAGACAAACGTGCAGCTCCGTTTAATTCCCCTTATCTTTTTATTCCAGTTTGTAAATTCATGCGCATCTTCTTATCCTTCCAGCTGTGACTACTCCCCCCCAGTTTGACGGAGGAGGAGGGAAAAGCGAGAGGGAAGCGGTCCTCGCTGGGGTTTGGAGTCTTTACGGCCTCCGAAGAAGTGACTTTCCGTCTGTGCGGAGGAAAACTTGAACTACAGTCCATGAGAAGGGGGCGGGGGGACTGGGTGCTCACGCTAGTGCGCATGCGCTTTCTCTTTCCGTTRTATCAACTTGGCCGCGCCAGGGGAAAGAAAAAAAAATCAACATGACCCGGATCGGTTTAGAACGGGTTGGTTTTTCAAACTGTGCACGAGTTCAGCCAGGGATAGGAATTCTATTTGCCCCCAACAAAGCGAATTATTTCCCCTTTATATTAAAAAATTGAGTAAAAAAGTAAGTTTTCTGATTATGTTACTTGCTTTAACCCTTGCAGAACTACGCAAACAATCAAGGTTAGTTCTGGGAAACATGTTTCTACTGCACAACTCTTAATTGGTCAAAAGAGAACTGTAGGAATTGCATTAATTATGGCAAGCCAGTACAGCGGGTAAAATAAGTATTGAACACGTCACCATTTTTCTCTAGAGGTGCTAATGACATGAAATTTTCACCAGATGTYGGTAACAACCCAAGTGATCCATACATACAAAGAAATCAAACCATAAATGTCCAGAAATTAAGTTATTTGTAATAATGTGGAATGVCACAGGGAAAAAGTATTGAACACATGAAGAAAGGGAGGGTAAAAAGGCATGGAAAGCCAAGACACCAGCTGAACTCTCTCAGTAATTAGAAAGCAAGCCTGCCCCTTGTCAGTGCAAGTTAATATCAGCTGGTTCAGTCCCAAATGATGGCCAGGTATCACACAAGAACCATCTGATGATGGGTAAAAGTAAAGAGCTCTCTCACGACCTTCACAACCTTATTGTTGCAAAGCATAATGATGGCATCGGTTACAGAAGAATGTCTAAACTTCTGAAGGTYCCAGTGAGCACTGTTGGGGCCATAATTCAGAAGTGGAAAGAACATTATTTCACCATAAACCGACCACGACCAGGTGCTCCTCACAAGATTTCTGACAGAGGAGTGAAAAGAATTATCAGAAGAGTTGTCCAAGAGCCAAGGACCACTTGTGGAGAGCTTCAGAAAGACCTGGAATTAGCAGGTACGATTGTTTCAAAGAAAACAATAAGTAATGCACTGAACCACCATGGCCTGTATGCACGCTCACCACACAAGACTCCACTGCTGAAGAAACAGCATGTTGAAGCTCCTTTAAAGTTTGCTGCACAACATTTAAACAAGCTTGTGTAATACTGGGAGAATATAGTCTGGTCAGATGAGACCAACATTGAACTGTTTGGATGCCAGAATACACATCATGTTTGGAGGTCAAATGGCACTGCACATCAGCCCAAAAACACCATACCAACAGTGAAGTTTGGAGGTGGGAACATCATGGTGTGGGGCTGTTTTTCAGCATATGGTACTGGCAAACTTCAAATAATTGAAGGAAGGATGAGTGGAAAAATGTACAGAGACATTCTTGATAAAAATCTGCTTCCATCTACCAGGATGATGAAGATGAAACATGGCTGGACATTTCAGCAAGACAATGAGGCCAAACACAAAGCCAAGGAAACTCTCAGTTGGTTTCAGAGAAAGAAACTAAAGCTGCTGGAATGGCCCAGCCAATCACCTGACCTGAATCCAACAGAAAATCTATGGAAAGAACTAAAGATCAGAGTTCATAGAAGAGGTCCACGAAACCTTCAAGATTTGAAGACTGTTTGTGTGGAAGAATGGGCCAAAATCACACCTGAGCAATGCATGCCACTAGTTTCTCCATACAGGAGGCATCTTGAAGCTGTCATTGACAACAAAGGCTTTTGTACAAAGTATTAGATAAATTTCAGTAAGTGTGTTCAATACTTTTTCCCTGTGCCATTCCACATTATTACAAATAACTTCATTTCTGGACATTTATGGTTTGATTTCTTTGTATGTATGGATCATTTGGGTTGTTCCGACATCTGGTGAAAATTTCATGTCATTAGCACCTCTGGTAATATATTTACTGAGAAAAATGGTGACGTGTTCAATACTTATTTTACCCGCTGTATATCATATAATAGTTAAGTTTAAGCAAGTATCTTCCTAGTCAAAACTATCGTTTCCGCAGTAAAATCAACATGTCAGACGTTAAACACCTTTCTTTCTCAAACATCTGTAACTAGAATAATAATGAGCAACAATTGACTTACAACTATGTACAAAGATATTTTAAACATYTCTATGTTCCCCAAAGAATATGTACACTACATTTATAGATAATCATAAGAATATTCTTGCTATGAAAAATACACATTTTGGAAATGTTACACAAAATCTTTGAATATTAAAATGGTCACCCTAACTTTTTTATATGCTTTATAGCTGCTTTTATTTTATTTTTTAAATATTAATAATCATAATACATCAAACTTGTATAGTGCTTTTCCGACACTAAAGACGCTTACCCATTCATACACTGATGGTGGTAAGCTACATTGTAGCCACAGCTACCCTGAGCGTGAGTGACAAGAGGTGAGGCTGCCATGCATTGGCATCAYCGGACMCTCTGACCACCACCAGCAGCATGGCAGGTGAAGTGTCTTGCCCAGGAACATAACGACTGAGACGGATTTAACATGGGATTGAACCAGCAACCCAACAGTTACAGGACGACTCCCCTAACCACTCTGCATTTATCGCCCATGATTACTTAGGACTTCATACATCTTCATCTATTTCATACAAACCTAATCTTGTTGCTTTGTACAATGACTGCGATGACAAAAATATTTTGTTTTCATCCATTTTATTCTATAAAAATTAAGAAAATCTAAGTTTGATTAAATGCTACATATTCTGCCATACAGGAGATCCATTCCACACAACTAATGATTAACATATGAAAGACCTGATCTTGCACTTTCTATGCCTCTGTGTTACCCAGCTGCCAACTGACAGCAGATTACAAAACAAAAAAATTTTAGGAACTTACMCTTTCTTCAAATGAGATGGTGAAATTCAGTCATGACATTAAAAACAGTTCAAGTGAAATGTTCAGTGTGGACATAAAATAATAATTAAAAAAAACTAACAAGTTGAAAGTCTCTGAGAAATTTATTGGCAGAAAGTAAATTGAAACTCAGTACTGTGGAAATGTTGGATCTATTTTCGTTGCCCAAGCCACGAGGCCTCCGCAGATGTCTTTCGGTGCGATGCTGTCTACTTCTGAGCCGCTCATCCTCTCCAGAACCTGCACCGCCTTCTGAGAGTCATTACCTTGCTTGCAGAGCACGTAAACTGGAAGAAACCACAGAGAAACAAGAACTGGTGACAGCTATTGAGGTTTAATATGTTTTAAAGGAGGTTTTTTTAAGTCGCTGCAAAAGACCAGAACCTGCTTAATAAACCGAGTCTTAAGAAACACCACAAAGCTAAAATTAGCAGCACCAAAACAACATTTTGAATATTGATTTCTCTAAACCAACTACTCAGTACTTGCTTTGGAAAAAGGAAAAAGGGGTCACCTAGCAACCCCATTAGARCCGGACCAAACTGAGCCTCTGTTCCTGCAGCATGAGTTCACACAGAGRACTATGAATATGTACAAGTGACTCAACATGGCTGTTTGTTTCTAACAACAGACACAGATCATAAACAGTGTTGTACCTGCTGGCTGGCTGTCACCTGCCATCTGCTGTTTCAGCTGGCTGATTTTCTCCTGGAGTAAGTGGATATCTTCGCTCTTTCTATCCTCTAAACTAGAGAGGGGGATATCTGGCAGCAATATAAGGAGAGTAATTACACAGAAATAGGAAACAGAATAGTTTTTTTACAACACAATGGGTACTATTGTGCAAAAAAAGGATACTGAGAGAGAAGGGTAGGTGGCATATCTCCACTTCCACAAGAGGGCGCACATCCAATAAAATATGTGGCAATGAGTTGTCCACGATCGATTTATATTCCTGGAATTACAAAAAAAAAAAAAAAAAACATTAAATAATGCTCCCACACTAGCTTTGTTAAACGAGAGCTATTGTATTTTTGGGTTAAAAATGTTGATTTATATCTTTAGACAAACAAGGAAACCAAAATTGTTATTGAAATTAATTTAAAAATAACGTGAATAGTTTGGACAGTTTTTCTTTTAAATCACAGGAAGTAAAACTGTTTCTAAGTGGAGCCCCCTCGCACAATAACGCCTGCTCCCCTCGATCAATCACGATCCACATCTCTACGCCTAATGACTCAGCAGGTTTAAAACGCCGATTCTGCAGAAACATAAACAGATGCAATCCCACCAGCACTGTTCTCGGTGCCAAACGGAACATGTTATTCTTTCTCATAGAAAATCTGCAGGCGCATTTTAGCTCATTTCCCATTTGAGGCTGGGTCGACTCTGAGATGTAATCAGTTTATGAATGCACCTAAAAACTCAAGAAAATTGTGAGTAATCGTCGAATKTACGCCACTAAATACAAGGAGTCACGCAACGACCGTCTGTTCAGACGTGTAGATCTCACTGTGCTGTACCTGGACCGTGATCCTCTGATCGTTGGACAGGAGATTCAGCTTTCGACACTGAAAAKGGAACAGAAGTGCTCTTTAAAAACTACGTTTTGCMATATCTGCGTGAAAATKACTAATTATGAGCTTCCTTTTTTTCCCACCAACCTTATCTGTGGCAGCAGACCCACAGAAAGCCTCGTAGTCTATAAGCCGGGTCACGCTGGGGTTTTCTCCACACACCGCRCAGCCGGCCTGTTTGGGCCGCAGCTTGATGCACCTGAACCTGAGATCCTGAGCGTCAAACATCAGCAGCTGCTGACCGCAGGACGCTGGGACGGCCCGTCAAGGGAAAGGTGGTGAAAAGGATTCAGAGAAYTGCCAAACAGGTTTTCTTATTTGTTCAGTCAGGAGTCTTGGTGGGGAAGAACGGTGCAAAGTTTCCCCGAGAGACGCATCGCGACCAGGTGTTAGCGTGTGTATCGCAATGCAACACAAAGAACTGGATAAGAAAAGTCTGAGAATCTGTGAGTCTGATTAGTAGTGACAGAACAAAGAAGCCCCAGCAGTTCCAGAAAACAATAGAAAATAAATAGCAGAGTTCGGAAAAATGCAGACAATGTTTCTGTTTGTCTTATCACACAAGCACAAAAGTTTGTTACAATAAAGTCTATTTCAGCATTTTATAGATGATGTATCACAATGACTAGGCAAAAAAAAAATGAAAACAAAGAAACAAAATGGCAAAGAAGGTTTCAACAAACTGGACTGAGGAATGGAAAAAAAAAAAAGGATACAGCTTTGCCCCGAGGCAATTTTCAGAACCTCTAACGCTTGGAAGCAGCCCATTATACCTGGAACTTAAATAAAAGAGGGAAAATGTTACAAAAATAGTATTTTCACAGACAAATGTAATGAGCCTGTGAAAGTATGGAGACACAACTCACCCACTCCTAACACCCCTCCATCAGAACAGTTGGTTACAGTCTCTGGGGGTGGGGGAACCGGGTATAGACATCGGTAGCAGGGGCCTCCTTTGTAGTTATACACTGTCAACTGTCCCGAAATACACAAATAACACTGAAAATTTAAAGAGGATGTATAAAAAAATGAAGAAAGGAATAATTTCCATCTTACCTGCCCCTCCATTCGTAAGGCACTAGCCGACACAAGAGGCTTGCCACTGAGCACGCAGGCGTCATTTACCAGGTAACGAGTGGGGACGTTGTCTGAGCAATCGGCCACGATGTCATACATGAGGTCAGAGAAGTCAAGGAGTCCTTGTAAACKTTTATATTAGAAAATGGCGTTCACATCACCAGCTTTATCACAATACAATATTATATTGATTTGGTAGGATGCTATGTTTCTCRATATCACAAAGTCTGTCATGATACGATTTCAGTTCAGTTCAGTTTACAAGTCTGTAATCGATATGATGCAATATCATATCAATCTAACACAATCAAGTGTTAGATGGGTATATGATATTGATCCACTTTGGGCATCAGATGACAAAAGATTGATGTTTTTTTGTTTTTCGTTGCTGTAATTGAATCATTAATCATTTCAATTATGTATCAACGTGGATCAATGTATTGTTACACCCCTATTAGCAAATATACTTAGCACAAAAAGTAAGGAAATTTGTGTTTCTTTGATTATTTCTGTGTTGTAACAAAGCTTGGCAATAAATATTCTACCAGGCATGGTTTCATGTGCACAACACACAAAGCTCTACTGCTCACCCAACAAATGCATGTTCCTTACAAATGTGGTGCCATTTAAAAGGGAAATTAACAGGCTTTTCAACAAYATAAGATGTRTTGCCAAGAAGCGTTGTYACAACAAAGAAATAATCTACCAAACAGAAACTTTACTTTTGTGCTAAGTKTAATTATAAAATCTTACTGAAAATTCTTCTTATGCAGAAGCTATAAAATATATATTATATAAACAATGTAGTTATGAGAGATTTTCAGGCAGATAAAAGCCACAGCCAGAGGATACTGCTGAACGAGCTGCAAGGCATTTTCAGGCGTGAGCTGCAGATGGTAAGGAGTACACTCTACAGTAGAATTTAGCCTGCAAACAGACATGAAAATAAGTTTCTTATTTAAGGTCATCTTCTTTGCAGAAACAAGAGCATGATTCAGAGAACTTGTGTTTTTCAGCTTCCTTGAAACACAAACAAAATCCATGCAGACACTTTGGTTAAAATCAACAACAAACCAAAATGTTTTTACCACTGAAAACCCTGAAAACAAATGATCATTTTAAAAATACACAACATATCCTAAACTCCCAATCAATTTTTATTATTATAATAGATGTGAATTAAGACTGTATCAAAACATGACACAAATATTTAGTTAGTTGAAGAAATGATGCCCTCGTGTGGCTGCAGCTCTGCAGCAGGTCTGCAGCTCACAGAAGGCCCACTGTTTGATGGAAAAGTCCTAAAACATCTGCCTCTAAAAAAAACATATTTGCTCAATATTTGTACACTGAGGAGAAATTTAAACCCAAATATAACCTGTGGTGAGACTGTAAAGAGCTGACAAACATTATAAAATAACCAGAGAGTGAAAGGAAGGATTTAAAAAGGGCACCAATGATCTCCTATAATACCAAAACACTAAACTTCACTGTTCTATATACAGTATTATATATATATAAGCCCACCCTACAGATATCACCACTATCTACCATTTACTGTACTTAAGTATCAAAAGTAAATTTTCTGATTTAACAGTATTATATATATATATATTTTGTTTTGTTTTGTAGTTTGTTTGTTTTTTGTTGTTGTTGTTGTTGTTGTTTGGATGTTGCTTGTATTAACACAGAACAAAGTGTTTCGTTTATCATACTTTTTAAAATAATTGAGTTTCACTTGAGAAAATAAGCATGAACATGATGAATCTGTACCTTTTAATGGAACCAGCAGCAGATAAAGCCTTGGCCTGGCCCTGGTTTTCCTCCCCATGAAGAACCTGCCTGTGCAGATTACTGAGCTCCACTTCGTCGTAGTCCAACAGGCCGAGGCGCCCTGCGGGGTACATTTTCAAAAACGTCAATATGGTCAAACTCTGTCTGGGTATTAGCTTAGATGAACGCAAAAACTTTAGAACAAACAATACATTTCAAAAATAACCTGTGAACCTAGCACTATATTACATTCTAAGTAAGTGTAGCTTAAAGCACCTTCTCAGTCTATCATCAAAACATTTCAGACTCAACTCAACACCTGAGGTTGGTATAAGTTTGTTGCCTGGTTTGCGGAATTATGCTGACTGGGACAATTTTAAAGTCAGAGAAAGTTGATCCTTGAAAAAATATATCATTTATATTATGGCAACGGCAATCAAAACAGGGCAGTGACATGATTGGTACTGAAGGCTATGATTTGTTTGCCTACCAATGCCTGCTGCTGCCAGATACTGGGCCAGGGGGCAGCCTAGTCCACCACAGCCCACAATCAACACCGATGATTTGGATAAATTCAGCTGACCTGTGAAGAACCAAGATCCCAGCAGCTGTCACAAGCAAAATTCACCCGACAGAATGTTTACTGCACTGAATGTGGTTCTGTACCTCTTACACCGAGCTCCGGCAGGAGGAGCTGCCTGCTGTAGCGCATGATGTCCTCATTGCTGAGCGCTGGTTTAGCTGTCAGCGGACTGAGTGGCACTATGTTGTTATGTAGCTTCAGTTCTGAGCCGTGAACCTGATGTCACAAAATCAGGATATTATTCTACAACAAGCATCTGTCCTAAACATCTGCTTGGAGAATTAAGACTTTTATAGATGCAGCACATTGTACTTAATATACACTTTAGAATAGCATTTTTACAGACAAACAGGGTTGACTCTGCAACAGTTATAACAACAGACATAGATGTTTCTCAATGGATTATGCTTGAAATACATGAAATTACTTTGCTACTGTCGTGTTCAGTATCTAAAAAAACTGCTCATTTTTGAGTTTTATAAAAGCAATTGGTCTCTTAATTATAAATTTGAAAGCAGAATTTGTCAACGACCATGTGTTTATCGACATAAACAGACAAAGTGATGGAAAATAGGTCAACAACAATTCTTGAAGAGCTATTTGAGATTAAGAAGTTCAGCAATTTTAAGTTTTTGGTACGAATTTATGTTCAGATTTGTTGAACAAACTACGCAAGAAGCTAAAGGTGCTTTGTTTACATTGAGTGAGGACCCGCATTTCAGAATTTAATTTTGTTTGGAAAACTACTGGAATAAACTTTGCCAAACTGCATCATTCGAGGATAATCTTTTTTAATTTCATCTGAAACAAGTACCTAAGCTTCCATGTCAGGAAGCATTCAGCTCTCGAAACAGATTAAGAAAGTGGTGTCTAAAACAATTAAAGGTCAATTTGAAACAAAGTATTTTCCGTAATGTTCTGAACTGTAACTTGTAAATGTAAGTTTTAAAAAAACCTCATAGAAACCTCTCAGTTTCACGAACTTACCTTCTTTTCCAGTTGTGCCAGTTTCTTCTTCAAAGCAGAAATCTCTTTCTCTTTCTCCTCCAGTTCAGCTTTTAAGCTGCACATTTCCTGATCCATGACCTTAAAAAAGCACCAGTATAAAAAAAACGCTAAATGTATAAATATAATAAACAAATACGCTTTGGTAGTAACCGAGTTATTTCAATGAGGCGCAAGATTGATCAAAACTTCCGGATTGAGATCACGTGATACGTGACGTACAAGCGTAGACTTTCAAAATAAAGGTATAGATCAAAAGAAATCAATTTTTACCGTTTAAATTAGTATAAGTTTTATTTTAAAAACTGTCTATACACGTAAATTTAAAACCAAAGCTTGAACCGAGCAAACCATTAACTTTGTGTTGGGTGTTTAAAATTTGTTCACAGACAGACGCTTTTATTTATGTTTATTTTTTCATATTGAGTCTTTTCACATGCACTAGTATGCTCAAGCTGAGGAAACTAACTAACTAAATAAGCCAACAAACAACATCAAAGAGCATATAATAGAAGGCTACGGTGACGTGGTGCTGGGAGTCTCGCGCCCTCCCTCCTGCCTTTCACATGATCTGAAAGCTCCCTCTGAGGAGTCTGAGGAATGTGGACAAGGAGCGACAGCATCAGAAGCCGCAGTCGCTCCACAATGCCTTCCTTTTACTCTCTGATGATCGGGGTGACATTCATCTTCCACAGCAGCGGAATCCCATGGACTCAGGAAAAGGTAAAAATCAATTAAACAGTAATTAAAGGGATCAGCTCACGCGAGGCTGTGCTGCAAATAACTGCCTATAATCACTTAAATAAAAAGTAACCGCAAGAAAACTTGGCTAAGGTGATGACTTGTGTAGTATTTTGATTATGCTTGTAATTCTAAATATACTTTGTTTCTTTTGACTTTCAATATAAAGAAAAAATATTTTTGACATATTTGTTTTGTTTAGATATAGGTGCATTTATGAAGAATTCAGATTTAGATATGTGCTTCAGTTGCATTTCTTATTTATGATAAACAGAAAATTATTAGTCAGCATTTCTATAAGGAATTATAAAATGATTCGATGCTGCTCCCATCAACTCATTGCTGTGTATAGGCTATTTGATCAAATGTCATTTGTTTTCCTTAATGTTGTCCTCCTCCTGTTGCCATGGCACCACCGGCATCATCCTTGATCCTCCAATTGTGGGTTTGTATTTATAGACCCTGCTTTAACCCTCTCTGAGCACACCGAGCCTCATATATGTTCAGTCACCGACCACATAAATATAGCCTACACTGTTTGCCACAGTCACAGCACAGATGTGTGACTCGGTCGGCGTGGATCCAGTTTAAGCTCTGATCAGCTTTTGCAAGTCACTGTAAGAAAGAAATGTGTGTTATTGTCTAGGAAATGATATTCTTGTAGAATATTTGCTCTGAATTCATCCATGACTTAGTTTGAGCTCGTTTGTGTTGTTGAAAAAAAATCTGAACTATTTCTCTTTGTTTAGCTTTGTGCACCAAATGAAATAAATAATTATTTTGTAAGAAAAAACATTACATTTGACAGCTGAGGACGGTGTCTCGTTCCCTTTGTTGTTACCATGATCACCGTGCTCCAACAGGTGAACTTTGGGACCAAACGAAAAACAGCCATGAAACTGAAGGATCAATATGTTGGTTTTTTTCTGTCCAAATAAATATCGCAGTCTAACATTTACTACGTTAACTGCACAAACACGTTTTTTTAGTCATGTTTGAGAAGGGAGTACAAATCTTTAATTCTGTATGATCATTAGAGCCTGTTTGTTATAGTCAAAGCTGCTCTGATTACTCTTCACACAGCTCTAATTGGTTATGCTTCATGTTTTTAACAGCTTGTCTAGATAATTTGACAGAAATTATAAAGACAAAAATCAAACTTTTTTTCATATAAGGGACTTTACAAATTGTGATTGTGAAATATTAAACAAGCCAAGAAACAGACATCAAAAAATAGTACTGGTGAGTGGTTTCTGGTAAGTCATGAGGAGGAACTCACAGTATGTTGACTGAGTATTTGTCACGTTGTTATGCAGTCTWACTACATCATTGTTAAAACTCAACATGCCAAAACATTCATCTCATTCAGGACATTACAGCTCTGACTTTTGGTGTTTGTAACTTTCATTCTTAAAAAAATTAACTTAGTTTACATTTTATCCATTTCTTATAAAGAAAAACTCTTCAAGTCATTGAAAAATGTGTGTTTTTTAACCTTCAGCACACTTGTTTCTTTTTATAGCTTTTAGCTCATGTTATGCTCATTTTTACTATTTTACACACACACACACACACACACACACACA